AAATTTGGAGGATGTGGTAATTATATATAAACAATACCTATTAATGGATATGTATATTTGTCACATGAACGGTACACTGTTTTCATGGCGATGAGCGCAATTCTAAACTTCAGATTATGCCTTACGTTCGTTTTATCAGTTAATCCCTTTTGAAAAATAAGTTGCTTGTACTTTAAAAGTATTTTCCTATTTGTTGTCGTTACATTGCAGTCTCAATTACATTCATCATCTCTGTTTTCATTAAATTTTTAAATAAAACTGCACATATTGTCTTGCTGAACAAACTTCGTTCGAAAAGTATTCGTTTGAATGAAAGAAAAAATTCCTAAAATAGTCATACCTTGTTAATTTACAATTCGGACTCTTCCATAGCATGACATTTGATGATTTTATATTTCAATTCTATATCAGTGAACTTCTCACAAATAATATTTAAAAGAAGCATTAATCTTAATTGATGTTTTACAAGATATGTTTTAATTTCCCAAGAGTGCAAGTCTCGTTTCTGTAAACTAAATATGGTTTCAATTACGTTCGTGAATAATGTTTCTTGTTGATATATATTTTATTCTAGAAAAAGTGTGTTTAAATGTATTTAAGTAGACTTTCTTCAATTGTCTCTTGAGAAAAGGCTAAGAACATGCAGTGCGGATTACCTTACTGGCTATGTGATTCTTACGTACATGTTTATTGATTTGTGTCTTGTATCGTACTGATTTTTCGTCTGCGTTGCATTGAAATAAACTGTAAAGGTTATTTATATTTCCAAATGATTGTCTAAACTCTCTTTATACAGAGTGACAAAGTAAAATTTCATACTGTTAAGAAGTATACATGATTGCCAAATTTGAATCATGTACATTTGTAAGTATGTATATGTATTAACGTTAATTGCCCAACATACTCATGTTTAAACATTTCTTTGCACGATGTAGTCAGTATTTTTAAAACATTACCTCGCTTTGGTGTGCTTAAATGCACATTTGTAGCGTTATCAATTACTAGCAAATAATCAAGATGGTAACGTCCGTTTTGAACCTGAGGCGAAGTGCGAGCTTTTCTATGCTAAAAAAAAATCACTGTAACTTGATGAAGAACAATAGTAAAAGTAATCTTCCTTGGCTTTAGGTTGTATTGTTAGGGTTTTGTGTACTTCATTATTACACAATATCTTTTCTTTTCTATGAAACCTTGAAAGAAAGTAAAGAACGTAAAGAACGCAAAGAAAGTGACACCAAGAATAACAGTGTATATACCAAATGTGGACTCCTTAAAAACTCAGAGTTCGGATTTGATTTTGATTTTGATTTTTGGTGTTTTAACGCCACTTTTAAGCACCGCTTTTGGGCTATTTCGTGGCGGCCAGTTTTTATTGGTGGAGGAAGCCGGAGTGCCCGGAGAAAACCACCGACCTTCGATAGGAAAACTGACAATCCTAGTCAATTAAGATTGGAGTCGTGTGCACCCGCACGAGCGGGGTTCGAACTCACAACCTCAGTGTTGACTGGCTAGTGATTACAGTAGTACTACTAAGACCACTCAACCACCTCCGAGTTTGGACAAGTTGTTTGTAAATTGAAGAGAATATATAAAATGTATCTGCTCTCATCATCTAATCGAAATAATATTCTTTCCTATATCATAATAGCACTCGGTGTCGATTCTTGTTAGATTTCATTCAGAACAGAACAAACATCAACATTCCACAGACAAATTACAAAAGAGAATGTTTGATAACGTCACAATTTTGACCCCTTAAAACTTGAATAAAAGTATTTAAAAATTTCACAAACCGTCCTGCGATGTTTACAAGGCCATGGTCTCAGAAAGTCGTGTATTGTTTGTTGCGGGGGGGGGGGGGGGGGGGGGAATGATTTCTAGTATACTTGCGTAAGAGATTATAACTTGTTGCATTTTATTGAAAGTAATATGAAACGCAACATTACACTAAACAGAATTTTGCTGCAAGCATATACGTCTTATACAATTTATATATACATTTTGGGTAAGACTGGTGATTTTTGTTGTTTTAAAAAAAATCGATATATTAAATAGAAGTAGATACCAAGAGGACAAGAAACAAGAGGCTCTCAAGAGCCTACATCACTCACCTGTAATTTTTTGCGTAAATCTTTCTTCAATGATTTTTTTGCCTTTTAATGTACATTAATGTGTGTTTAAAAAAATTGTAAATCTTTTCTTTGCTTGATATTTTTGCTGTTTTCAGTATTTTGCAATCTATATTGATATTCAAGATTATTAACAAACAATACAAAATTTCCTTAAAACGAGATATCATTGCAAAAGGATGCCGTCATGAAAGTCTCCCAAACGAACACAAATTGAATACCCCTCCTCTCCAAAATTTATTTCACCCTGGGACTGTTTAATGCTGTAAATGTTTTTCAATGTTTTTTTGGAACACCATTCAATAACAATTTTGGCAGGGGTTCCCTTTACCCCGGCTAACCTGTCAGGTCTGGGGGGCATTCACCCAATATAAGTATGCTGAAAGAGAAGATATATAATAATGGTTTATAGAAAAGCAACACTGAATAATTCTGAAAATGGAACCCCCCTCTTTAAAAAAAGCAAGTCATCCCATTGTAGTTTTACAATAGTTACTGAAACCCATTATCATTATTCAAATTAGTTTTCAAGTTGCGACCATTTGAAATTGTTTTTTATTCAATTTTCCCATAGACTTCTATAGTAAACCCCTATGTTCTATTTTTAGCCGTGGCAGCCATCTTGGTCGGAGCGCAGGGTCATCGGATACATTTTTCAATCAAGACACCCTGATGAAAATTGTGGCTAAGTTTAATGTCATTTGGCCGAGTAGATTAAGTAAAGAAGATTTTTGTAAAAGATGACAAAAGTTTACGAAAATTGTTCAAAATTGACTATAAAGGGCAATAACTTCTTAAGGGGTCAATTGATAATTTTGGTGAAGTAACATATTTGTAGATCTTATTTTACTGAACATGTTTGTTTTTTACAGTTTATCTCTAGCTATTATTTATTATATTCAAGATAACCAAAAACTGTAAAATTTCCTTAAAATTACCAATTTACGGACAGCAACCCACCAACGTGTCTGATTTGTCTGAAAATATCAGGACAGATAGATCTTAACCTAATGAACCTTTTTACTGATGTCAGATTTGCTCTAAATGCTTTCGTTTCAGGAGATATAAGCCAAAAACTGCATTTGACCCCTATGTTCTATTTTAGCGATTTAGGCCATGTTTGTTGATAGATCTAAACTTCGGATACAATTTATAAACTACCCTAAGGAACATTCTGTTTAAGTTTGAAGGTATTTCAGAGCAGAAGATTCTTGAAATAGTTTACGACGACGGACGCCAAGTGATGGCATAAGCTCGCATGGCCCTGTGGGCCAGGTGAGTTAAAAAGAGGTGTCAAACTTTTTTTTTTTAATCATATTGCTTTCATTACATTATAGACGTCTGTTTCCGTTCGATTCCGTTAAATACCAATTCCTATGAGCAATAAGTACTTTGCGGAACGAAACGGAACGGAACAGAACGGAATAACAAATTTAAAAAGTTAAAATCAGAATCAATGTTTCTTATCATCGTCGGAAAGGACGACGGGAGGTCTTGTCTTCTTAGATGTAATTACGAATGAAAGAAGTAATACTTTTTGTCTGACTTGCCTATTTCATATAAATTATTGATCCGGTTATTGAATGTATATTTAAAACACTTACCCCTTATTTAAAAAAATAGGTGTAAGACAAAACAACATGATACCACAAGGAACATTCAGTAAAAGTTTGCATGTATTTGGCAAAGTAGTTTCAGAGGAGAAGATTTTGGAAAAAGTAATAAGACGCACAAAAAAAAGATGTAAAAAATTGTGTTTCAAGGGCAATAACTCTTTAAGGGGTCAATTGATAATTTGATCGTGCTAACTTATTTGTAGATCGTACTTAGCTGAACATTTTTCTCGTATACAATTTCTTTCTATCTACGAAAATTTTAAAGATAATAACCAAAAACTGTAAAATTTCCTAAAAATAAACTACTTCTGACAGTGAACCAACAATGGGTTCTCCAATTGGCCTGAAAATTTCATAGCAGATAGATCTTGACCTTTTCATCACTTTAGCTCCTTCGCGTTTGCTCTAATTGCTTTAGTTTTTGAGATATAAGCCTAAAACTGCATTTGACCCCTATGTTCTAGTTTTAGCAACAGCGGCTATGTTTGTTGATAAATCAAAACCTCAGATATAATTTATAAACTAGATACCCTATATATAAGGAACATTCAGTTAAAGTTTGAAGGTATTTTAGCCTGTAGTTTCAGAGGAGAAGATTCTTGAAATAGTTAACGACGACGACGACAGACGACGACCGACGACGGACGACGACGAACGCCAAGTGATAGCATAAGCTGACATGGCCCAGGTGAGCTAAAAAGCATGCAAAAAAAAAAAATTACCAACAACAAACAAAAAAACAGATGAATTCATAATCCAAAACAAATCTACAAAAAAGACAAACACAAGTCTACCAAAAACTAAACAAAATAATTAAGCTTGAGCAACTCGAACACCGACAACAAAACCTGGGTGATTGCGGGTGCTTTGGAACGGTTATTAGTTCCGGCTCCAGTAATTCGCCCGCATTTGGTCATGGCAAGTAAAATGTAGGTGATAAGTTGCATTAGGTAATGTTAGAATCGAGGAAAAGAGGACGGGATTATGGATACTTGAAACATAATCATGGTCATCCTTTTTGACATATAAATACCATGATAACGGTCAACCATTTTACAATTTGAACCCTTGAAGATACATTAATTTTTGAAGCAGGCGCTGCTGAAATGTCGCTTCTTAGAACTGAATAGTTCTCAGCTGGAAAGCTTCTATCACCTCGTTTGTTGTTAGGTTAAGTTCACAGCCGACCCTCATCATCAATGTCAAATTTATATTGCATATCCTTTTTTTTAATACAGGATTTCTTGATTTTCAGAATGGAACATGCTATAGAAATAATTCCATGGTGCGATTACCTAACGTGCAATACAACTAGGGCTTGGTGTGATCGCGACGGTAGACTAGATTTATCAAAAGAAACACCGGACATAAAACACAGGATAAAATCAGATAAGTACGTTACTTTAGCATAACAAGCAAAACTTTCGTGCCATTAGTTAATCAATTACATTTATTTTAAAGTTTTATTTACCCATGCATTAATTTCAAACATTGTAAATGTTGAACAAGTTAATTATTTTGACAATAAAGAGGAAACTGAATATCAATTTTCCAGCCATGTTTTCTGGTTGTGTTAGATAAATAGCAGATAGACTTTCAGCAAAAAATGACAGCGTAGGAGAACTTAAAGATCATTATCACTGTAGCATTTCGATGTAATTATTGCATTTTAGAAATCAAGATTTGAAGTCCTTTGAATTTAAAAAAAAATTCTTTTCTCAATATGTCTAATAACATGAAATGTTCCTAAACAGTGGGACAACGATTTTTTTTTAGTTTTACAACACGCATATCAAAATCATGACAATATGATTTAAATCTTGCTTGCATGAGACGCTAATCGACAGCAAATCTTTTTTTTTTTAATACTTGTATCAAAAAGTTTTACTTTCAAGTGGGATACCAGCATAAAACTGCCTAAAGAAAACAATAATAATGACAAGATAAAATGTTGCCAAATGGATTTCAAACGTTAGTTAATATTGCTAATGTGTGTTTAAATCTAAATATTTTAATCAATATAGACAACTAAGCAATAACATAAGACGAATAAGTAGTTTAGCAATGTTTAAAGCGCGTAAATCCATTTTATATGTACAATCAAACGCAGTCCTGGTAATTAAGTCCATTTGATTTAACATGCACCCGCCTGACGCGTCAAGTAAAATATTAAACCATCATATGATGCAACAGAGATTATGTTATTTCTTGTAAATGGGAAGTTTATCGTTTACAATCTGAAATCGTCACTTTTATCATTGATTCCATTTTGAAATCGTCACCCTTATCGTTGATTTCATTTTGAAATCGTCAATTGTTATCAATTTTATGAAACGATCAAGATATACTTTCTAGTTTTGGTTGTATCCTTATTGCCAAGTTTATTGTGACATATGAGATGCAAGCACTTCTTGGAACGCGGGTTATTTAACAATGAGCATAATCAATATATCTGAACGTGAAATTCTTTTTTGTCTTTTTATCCTTCAAGAAGGCTCGTTATGAATTGTGCTTCATATCAACCAATAGTGATTCACAACAATCAACAGTTGGATTCCGACTGTTTGTTAAAATACAGACGCACCTGATTGAATAAAAATAGCCGATCAAAATTTATTTTATCGTTATTTGCATATTTGTTGAAGTAAGTTTGGTTCCATACGAAGTAAGTTATTTAAGTTATTAAGAAAATTGGTCAATTTTACAATTTACCACGGGAAATAGTAGTTCAAAGACTTAAATTAAATTTGATATTCTTGCAAAATTTAAAATGTTACTGAAAAGTTGAAGAAGATCAGCTTGTTAGATATACTTTATCATGATACTTTTTAAAGGTAATCCTGTTGCAAAATGGTAGTTACAATCTTAGAAAAACGTGTGAAGAGTCTACTGAATATTTTTCAGATGTTTCATTTTGTCTTTAAAGTTTTGGTATCAAATTTAAAGAAAAGATATGTTGACCTCCTTTTTTATGTTTATACCAAAGGTATCTAGTACGGATTGTTTGATTGTACAGAATGTCTTCTTTGGTGAATGATGTAGGTGTATCAGTTAGTTTTTTCTGACATTATCCATGCAAATTAGGCTTTTACATTATAATGAAATCAATGTTGTTTGGGGTTGTGTGAACTGGACCTTTGGCCAACAATTTTGATGTCGTCTTTAATCTAAATCAATTGGATGTGTACTGATTGATATTTTGTATTGAATACACGATTTTTGTATGTGTTGCTATTGGTTTGGACCTAGCTTCCAATAACTGCGAGTAATCTCAGATCGGTCGTTTGTGTCTTAAATGTAATTATTAGTTGCTTGCTTTGCTTTTATCGATCAGTTGAGTCAAGCCCTTTTCAACTGATTGTTTTTATAGTTTGTTCTTATGTTGCGCTGTTACACCACTTTCCCAGGTTAGGGGTAGGGCTGGACACCGGCAATAATGTTAACATCTACGTCATTTGGTCTCTGGTGGATAGTTGTCTCATTGGCAATCATACCATATCTCCTTATTTTATCTAATATACTATAGTGATTTCAAAATGCAGATACAGTTTTTTTCATTATCTTACAGAAATGGAACGTGCAGTTTTATCTTGAACGTTATCAAGTACTATTTTTTTTAACATGAACTAACGGAAATAATTTCCAAAATTGATAACATGCTAACCAATGTACTGAGAAGTCTAGTAAATACATGTTTTCATCATTGTTTAAATATTCACAAAACACTATGATTTTTTCACCCTAGGGATAGATTGCCGTCGCCGTATTTGGCACAACTTTTAGAACTTTTAGGTTTTAAATGTTCTTCAACTTCGAATTTCATTTGGCTTTCGTACTGACTTATGTAGACGATTTGCACGTTTGCTTACCAAAATATAAGCCTAATATTCTAATGAGTTCAAACAACCACTTGGCCGATGCCACTGCTGGTGGACATTTCGTCTCAAAAGGTATCTCCCCATTATGTTATTCACATACAATAACATTGCTATGTTAATATTCTGTATATTTACGGTTTATACAATGTTGAATTTTTCAAAACAATTAGGGTTTTTCTATCTCCAGAAATAGATTTCCTAAGTCGTACTTGGCATAACCTTGGGAAAGTTTGGTTTTAAATGCTTTTCAACAACATATTTGATTTTGTCTTTCAATCGATTTGATTCGAACGCCATCGATGAACCTTATGTAGATGAACCACGCGTCTAGCGTACCAAAATCCAAGCCTGGTATTTTGATGAATTTATATCTAATGTATCAGATATTTCACAGTACAGGGTCGAATATTAATAAAATATTTGTAATTGCAGTGAGGAATCTGTAGCTTATACATAAAGTGTTTTATTGCAGCGTTTAAAGGAACCTACTATAGTTGTGTCTTTGACAACATCCTAGTAACACCTTTTCATCCGGATGAACAACTTTCACATTCGTGCATTTCTTCGTACATTGCCAATGTCAAAATGCTTATGTGATCACGTCGTTTGTTCAATTACTTCATTTAATCCGATAGATCTCGTTGGTTCCTTATTATCCGTCAACATAATTCATAAGGGGAAACTTTCAATGTGTGTCATACTTTAAATAGAAGTAGGATATATTTCCAGGTGGCGCGTATCTATTCAGTTGTTTGATTCTCATGATCAGTAATTGGCCAAAATTTTAATTGTCAGTATGAATGACAAATATTATAGTTTATATATACATGTTATTCTTGAGCACCTGAGATGACCACGTTCTGGTGGGGTTCTTGTTGCCCAGTCTTTAGTTTTTTGTGTTGTGTTTCGTATATTTTCTGTCTTTTGATCGTTTTTGTTTTTTACCATGCCATTGTCAGTTTGTTTTCGATTCTCGAATTTGAATAGCTCTTTGGCATCTTTAGCCTTTCTTATATATATATACGTGTGTATTAGACGTGGTATGATTGCAAATGATACATTTATCAACCATAAATCAAGTGAAGTGGATGTCATTTTGACGTGTTTATTTGTTTACACGGAATAAAAAAATATTGCGTTCAGTTGAAGACACCTTATAACAACATATTTATTGAAACGTACAGCAATAATCGGATTATAAATATAACGAAAAATTATTTTGAAACATATAATTCATATAACTGAGCTCGCGTTATAATATGATTTGAAATAATCTTAGATTATATATGATAAGAAAACGAGAATATTAAACAATAATTTAGATGAACTGACAGCAGATTATTTACAGGATTTGAAATATTATATTTTTCCTCTTCACATAAATCAATAGTTATTACAACATTATTGTTTTTCCGGCTACCTCTACTGATTGACGAAAAGGATTAAAACTGTTTTTGCAAGTATTTTCTTTTTAAACAACAAAAACATACTTATGAAAAATTCAAAATTTCTTGTCAAAACGTCTATTTTCTTGTCAGTACAAGATGTATAAAACATTACTAGCAGATTCAAACTTTTCATTAAGTTTTGTAACTCAGTTGGATAACATTTTGAAATAAAGTAAAGGCGTTTTTTTGTTTGTTTTGTAAATTGTTTTTTATGATGTCATTGCGTTGTCAGGTTGCTGAAGGTTTCTCAACATCTCCTGTTATCCACATTATTACTTCTTTTCTGTTATATTATACTGTTTCTTGAGACAGAAGATTAAGAAGATGCGCTTTTCCTGTCCATTTGTGTTTATCTTATTTGTGACCTGTCGAAAAATGAAATATTGTTTTAATGTAGTGTGCTATACGAAAATGCTATCATCATGTCATAAGTATATAAAAGAGGGACGAAAGATACCAGAGAGACAGTCAAACTCATAGATCGAAAACAAACTGACAACGCCATGGCCAAAAATAAAAAGACAAACAGACAAATAATACAGATGACACAACATAGAAAACTAAAGACTAAGCAACACGAACCCCACCAAAAACTGGGGTGATCTCAGGTGCTCCGGAAGGGTAAGCAGATCTTGCTCCAAATGTGGCGCCCGTCGCATATATAAATTAGAATAACACTTTATAAATGTAGTGTGTACAAGCGCTCTATTGTAATTACATTAATGAGGAACGCTAGTTTTGTTTTTCAAGTACATTACGTAAATCGCATTGCGAGATGATATCTTCGAACACACCTTAATGTTTTGCTTTTAAGCGAACTAACATAAAACGAAATGTACGAATATTTATGCCTTTCCTTCAATCTATGAAACACTTTTCACGACAAAAAGTACATAGTTCAATCATCGACACTTAATAAAAATATTTGTTTCAGTTTTAAATTCAACCAAACAGGTCATCATTACTCGGATTAAAATTCTGAACGCTAGACGCGAGTTTTATCTACATATGACTCTTTATTGAAAATCGATTCCGAAAAGTATAAAAAAAGCAAAGGTATTGATTTAAACGATACATTTTGTTTGTTAATTTACAGTTCATCTTATATTGTAATGTTGATAAATAAGAGTTTTCTTCGGTCAAAATTGGCCGTAGACCGTTCTAGCTGTTTTATATAATAGAAATACTGTTTGATTGTTTGTCTGTCTTTTGGTTCGGTGTAACGCTCTCATACTTTCATATTTTTTGCTATCTAAACATTTTGTAACGAGTATACTTTTCTGAAATTATTCCAGAAACAAGTGTTATGAAAACTCATCTCAATTGTTTTTGTTTAACCTACTCGTAGCCAGTTAAGTTTTGTTTAACGTACGCGTAGTCAGTTAAGTTTTATTTATACTTTATATAAATAGGGATTTGATTATATCACTGAGCTAGTAATTCTAATTTGATAGGAACACAAATATAAAGCTAATGAATATTTACTATATTTTACATTTATAGAAATGGAGCTGTATTTAGAGTCTCCACAAAATCTGATTTAGAAGACATCAGTAGTTTACTTCTTAGTAAATACATCATCTTGAGGGTGACTCTCATTCATACACAAGTTGGCAGCAGATACGCTAGTGACAGTGTGACCATATGGGAAGGTACATATCATATTAATTAAAACAGTTTCAATACATTCATTTTGTTATGAGTAAGGTTGGTTTGTTTTTAATCTAGATATTCTGACAACGTCGACCAATGCAGGTTATGTTTGAGTCAACTTTGTAAAGGAAAAATGTTTTTGTTCTTGCATATATTAATTAACTGTTATACTATTTCATTTAGATCGGTTTTATCGTGAAGCATCTTGTATAAGGATTACGTACGTCCCTTTTAATGTATGAATAAGGACAATCGTGATGTTGAGTTACCATTGACTTCATTTACATTATCACCCATCATTATCAAATAGTTGTGAAACCGGTTGGAGAATGTAGTTAATTAACGGAGTTTTAGTGCATTTTGAACTTCATTTATTTCATTATTCTACCTGTTCGAATTTAGATTTGATTGTATGTTAAGTCCATCTATTTGAGAATAAGTATGATATCAATTATGGTGTTAGCCCTGTATAACCACGCCTTATCCGTTGGAGAACGTCTGTCGTAAAATTGTCGCATGTGTTGGAGTATATATATATATATATATCTATAAATAAGTCTAAATTGAAAACAACGTTCAAACCTAGGATTGCGTTGGGTAAAAACCGCAACTTTTAAACGTGCGCATGCAATACAAATTTCTTGGTAGATATATATATATATATATATCGAAGTTACTACACCTACAAGCCCGACCTCCCCGTAAGTCATTTGAAATCACCTGGGCACGCCCAAGCTGATCTCAAAAACCTTACCATCACTATCATAGACCACAACGAGGGTTGGTCAAGGGCCGACAGACTTGCTCGGGAAAGGTTTTGGATAAGAAAGCGTAGGGCAGTTTCCCCAGAGGGAATAAATGAAAAAACAGAATGTGTCACTCATTTTCCCTACCATCACATGTTTCCAGTAACTCAGGCTTCCGTTTTGAACTCTTACAGTTTTAAGAAATTTATTCCTCCTCCCAAACATCAATATTGAAAAAATTACCAGCGTATTGATTATTGATAATTTGTATAGCATTCAAGATTTTTATTTCAGTTTGACTACCACATGTCAAGATAAGATTCATTTTACATCTTACTGATGAAGGATATTAGTTATCCGAAATATCTAAAATTTGTTCATGATTTAATTATTTTTTGGTGAAGTTGTACCCTTTTAGACTAGTTATATATTATATTTTGTAGTGTACTGCATTATAATTTTATGATCCATCGCCCGTAAGATTTATCGTTGGCTATTATTCAGTCATTTATATATACGTGTGAAGCCTAGGTGGTCGAGTGGTCTAGCGCGTCGGATACAGTGCAGGCGATTTGGTGTCACGATATCTCAGTTGCATGAGTTGAAATTCCGGCGAGGGAAGAACAAGCATGAGGTGCAAAAAATTGTACACCATATCCGGATTTCGACAACTAATGTCTCTTTAGTGATGATAGGAATCGAAACGGTATTTGGAAGGCCATATAATTTACCTCGAATTTAGGATTGACTCTTGAATTTTGAAGAGTCGTAATAGGATTTATATAATCCGTTCATCCTATTTCGACTCTTCAAAATTCAAGAGTCAATCCTAAATTGTGGTAAATCATATGGCTTTCCTAATACCGTTATGATTCCTTTTTATTTTTCGTCTTTTGGAACATGTTGTTTGTGCTGTATTTAGGTCCCTCAACCAAGAAATTTGTTTTGCATGCACACGTATGAAAATTGCGGTTTTTATCCAACGCAATCATAGGTTTGAACGTTGTTATCAATTTATTCTGTGCATATATATTTTTTCTATTTATTCGTCATTCCATAGCTGATGCACCTAAAATATCGTATTTTTCTTGTTATTATTTGATGACCCCTATATTAACGCGACATTGCTAGTAAAAAAAAATTCTGAAGTTTTATCATATAAAGTTTTCGTTCACCTACAAACATTTAGATACATGTGGGTTTTGTTTGTTGACTCATCTAAACAGAAAATTATCCATTGGTACTCAAATGTTAAAAAACCTAATCATTACTACTAATATTTAACAATGCAAATCATCATTGGGAGGATCGTTGTTTGTCTTACCGGAATTTAGAAAATCAAACTAAATAATCATTCTTATCGAGAAAAATGTTGCACATGATACTGTTTCATTTTAATTTCGAATACAAAAACAGTTTTATCAATAATTCTTGAATGATATACACTTTCCTAGATTTGTTGAATCAATACTCGTCATACGAACATCATATATCAATGTATTATTTTCCGATTTTCCATATGCATGATTGCCTCGATAAATCTTGTAATGTTTCTTTGCCTTTGCTCACAAAAATAAACTGTGTTCCGGGTATACGAACAAATCACCCGTGTGATGGCTGAAATCATTATCATAGAATTATCTAAACCACATATTAAGAAAAAGGTGTTGGACAAATGGATTCATGCATAACAAAACGAAAATGTCATATCAATGCACAATAAAAGACAGATTTAAATAACCAGTCCAACTGTTTCCTCAAAAAAATGCTGAGGCATATTGAAGTTTCTTTATTCAGGAAGAGGTAGTTATACTCATTGTAAAACACTCAGATTAAAAAAAAATTTCAGCATCTGACATCATCATGATGCTTAATTGTTTGCCTGAACACACATTTTTGTTTTTCCATTTAGTGGATGTTTTTCACAACAGATTCAACTATGCCCCTCCACTTGGAACTATTAGTTTGAAACAGCTGACTTCTTTCAGTGGCTTCTCGTGAAGAATGAAAAGTGGTTTGCACAATTTTTTGAAAATTAATCTATATTTGAGTGGATGCTTGCATCTCATATATCCCAGTGAAGATTCTACTAATAAAAAGGTCTGCTTCATATATTTGTTCCTTCGATATTGACATAGATTGCATTTGACGACTTCAAACTTCAATTTTCAAATTGTCTATCTCCTAAATTTCTCTAAAATAACCCCTGCTCCATTGGATGGTGTATACATATAACAATTTATACCTCACACTCATTGCTGTTCATACTATACGTACTTCATTAATAGGGGTGTACTTCTTACAAAAAGACTGGTTAAACAAATGTATGATGAAATACGATTGGAATCGTCACTACATAACTTTTACAGTAACCACCACGAATGTGTTTGCCAATACGTTGTCTCCATCTAAACTCATTAGTAACCTTTTTTCGCTAAGTTGGGTCTTCAGATATCAGAATTTTCGTCTGATCTGTTAATTTATCAATTTATTCTATTCCTGATTGTTATTTTGTTGATAAATGCGTTGCAGGAGAGACTTACCGTGTCGACGCACCTGATCTTGCTCCTTTAGACGTTCATGTGATTCTCACTATTTTGGTTTTTAGCATTGATTTATATCTTTTTAATGGATTGATGAAATTTGAACATACGTAAACTATTGTTATCTCTGATTAATAATAGAGTTTCCCTTTGGAAATTAAAATATCTGATTTATAATAGATTACTAGTACTTCTTAATGTTCATATTAGATGTCTAATTATCTTTCGGCAGTATAGTAACATACATCTTGATGACTTAAAAACAATATCAAGGAGTTAACAGTATACGTGCTAGAAAATTTTCTGTTAGGCGAAATATTGACGAATTTTTATTGAGTCTGCCAATAAACTGTGATTAATTCTAATACAAGAACAAGTATGCTATATTAAGGGCGCAAAAAATGATCATAAGTGTTCCAATAATTTTCAAATCTGGTAAAACAGATAGGACTGCAATCTAAATAAAAAATTGTATTTTCTTTCTTTTTATTTATCATCTTACTTTTAGTATCTCTTTTAATATAATGGACTACTTATATTTGTCATTAAGTAAAGCTATTGTTTCATAAACATAAAGAAATTTAAGACTGCATTTTCATGTGCCTGTATGTCTCAAATCAGGAGTCTCTTCAATAGTTGTCGTACGTCATATTTTAATGTTTTTTTTGTAATTTAAAGAATTGGTCGTTGAAGGTAGATTGTTGATTGTTTCTTTTTTTCTCTTACAACTTTTAGAGAATCGGGACGATTTAGAGCTTGATATATTGTATACACATACAGCTGTGTCACCCAAAGTCACCTTTAATGCATATGCTTATTGCTTGTTATAAAAGCTCGATTGATTTTGTATTCTCATCTATCAAAGAGTGCACACAAAACTTAATAAATTTTGTTTAATCTCTAATAAATGGTTTATTAAAAATAGCATGATATTAAACGATTTTCACAATGACGATACTTTCCACTTAATTTAGGCTGCCAATTATCCTAGAACTTATGATCTAGACTGTATAAATCATTCGGAGATTAAATTTTCGATTGTCAGTTGAATAAACAAAGGATAATGAACTATTTCCATATAACAAATAATTTGTATTTCTATCATATGTGAATATGTGATTATCACACAAAAGCAGACTTGAAGTAATCCTTTTCGAGACCAAAGTAATTGAATAATAAATATATCTCCGTATAAATGTGGAAATGACAATCAGTAATAAATCTAATGGAGCTATAAATACAGACGTAATTTAGTAATGTACTATAGACAACAAGTAGCGTCTTCTCTGTCAATTTATACTAATTGAAAAAGTGTATTGCCTGAATACAACCGTTACTGAGGTTTTTAGTGAAACAGGGAACGGTAATGAAATCTAAGAAATCGGAAAACAACAGCTGTTTTACTAAAGATCTACTAAACAAACGGTAGTGATGTTCAAATGATAAGGATATAAAAAAGGGTATCAAACTCTAATACAAACATCATGCAAAGGATATACAACAATGCGACAACAACCAAACGACTAAGACAATCTCATGGTAAAGGTAAATTTGTAAACAACATACTGGCTTTTTTTGCTAAAAAAAAACAACCTTTTTATTCATGCTACAATCAATAGAATAAAGATCACGTTTGACTAGGAACACTTGATATCATTAATTATTTTGGTGGGAATGATCATTTTTAAGTTTTCGATGTTGTGTATTTTTAGAATGTTGTTGTCTTTACGTAGTTTTTCATTTTGAGTAGTCAGGTTGTCTTCGACTTTGTGTTTGAATATCCCTTTGGTGTGTTCTGCATCTTTTTGTCTCGAAATACTCATTTTGCCGATGAAAGTGTTGAACAAATTTTGTTTTCGGTCCGCCTAATCCTTTTTTTTACTTGAAAGAATACATGTTCTCGTTGTCACAGGTTAGCCGTTCATAAACCAAAGCATAATCCTGTACCTAGTTTTGATTTAACTTGCGAAGTAATAGAGCTGACCACATTATACATATTACGTTTCACTATATAAATCTTCGATTTAAGTGTTCGATTATCTTATTTCCTGTGAAGTCTTAAGTTTGATCTTAATAATTATTGGTCTTTTATTTGTCTGTATGACTTTGTTGATTTTTTCATAAAATTGTTTATCGTGGCTTAAATTTGTTGCATCAAGTATATCTTTGATCCCTGTTTTTAACCGACGTTATAATGTCTGAACGGAAAACTGTTGTTTCTATAATGAAAAAACAAACAAATATAATTTTCAATAAATAGTTTTCTTCATATTGAATATCCGCTGCTTGACAAAAAATCTTTGTATTGTGACTCGCAGCTGACATTTATACGGAACCTATATGCCAAAACAAAAAATGATAATCGATACTTACTTAGATGTAACTACGCACATATCTGGAAAATACTCAATATGCATTTTTTACCATTCTTTGTAACTTATAGCGTCAAATGTTATCCCTATACTACATGCACTTCTATATTGAAAACATAAAAGCAATTGAAGTATATTACAATTAAACATAGGAATGCATAATTGGTTTTCTTAAAATTTGTCTTCATCATTTAACAGGTGACTATGCAGTTATTATAAACACAAAGAATTCCAAAGTGCAAAATCAGTTTGATAAAGTCTTCACTGATGCCAGAATTAACATCGATACTGGATGGAACTACAGTGTAGAGGTTACTGGTAAAATTCGTATCATTCATATACGTCTCTTTTTAAATTGCTATGTATAATCAGTTTGATCATTTTCGTCGCCTATTATTTTCAGACTTTGAAATTCTCTTGATGATCATAGATTAACGTTTGATAATTAAATCAGGTACCTTATAATCATGCAAAACAAATTTAGATATATTTTTGTCTGATAAAATATCACATTTGAAGTCTAGTTGAAGACACGAAAAGGAGCGTAAGCAATAAGAACCGCCTGAACCCAAAACGTACATTCAGGGTCAATATGTTAAACATCTCCGTCTGAGCATGCATCACATATCCCACAATTCCAAAGTCATAGTCAGGAAGAAATATCAAAGCAAGAAAATTTACAAAAACAGTAATTATATCAAGACCAGTGGAATTTAAGTATAAAAAGCTTAGAAAACACAACTCCGATTATAGTAACATAAAAAGTAAAAATATTGAAGACAGAACAATCACTGCGACAGTTCATATGCGTCAGTACCATGAAAGCAGCTTTCCCAACAGACATTGTGATAGTACTTTGCGTTGCCTGGTTGCTGTCTCATTGACATATACGTCACTTGGTATTTGTTACACTTTAACAAGTTTTTTCTCTCCACAGATTGATCTATCAGATATTGTGGAAGCATGGTATTTACAGCACAATGAAGTTCTCTCGGGTTGTGATGATTTCCAAACAACAAAAACAAAAAACTGTAGAATAACATTGACAAATTATAAGCCATATATGCATTGTTTTGACTGTAGTCCAAGATGGTGGTTGTTTTTAGGACCATGTTGGTTACTATCCGCCCCTTGGTATTTTGTAAGTACTTATTTCAGCACAAAACGTCTATATTATTCAATATTTTCAACTTTGTACTTGTTTGGCTTTATAACTATTTTGATCTGAGCGTCACTGATGAGCATTATGTAGACGAAACGCGCGTCTGGCGTATTAAATTATAATCCTGGTACCTTTGATAACTATTTACACCACTGGTCGATGCCACTGCTGGTGTACGTTTCGTCCCCGAGGATATCACCAGCCCAGTAGTCAGCACTTCGGTGTTGACATGAATATTAATTATATGGTCATTTTTATAAATTTCATGTTACAAAACTTTGAATATTTCGAAAAACTAAGGATTTTCTTATCCCAGAAATAGATTACCTTAGTTGTATTTGGCACAACATTTTGAAATTTTGGGTCCTCAATGCTCTTCAACTTTGTACTTGTTTGGCTTTATAACTATTTTGATCTGAGCGTCACTGATGAGTCTTATGTAGACGAAACGCGCGTCTGGCGTATTAAATTATAATCCTGGTACCTTTGATAACTATTTATAAAGGTTCTTTATCAAATTATGTGTGAATATATCTAAATTTTGTTGAAAGGAATACTATTTAGAATATTCTCCAAATAAGTCCAAATTACATTAGCACGTTAAAACAGACATTGCCGTTTAATTTCAACATTTGTGATTAAGCGACTCGAGACTGAAGAAACATTGAGAAACTTCAATGATCAATTTTAACATTCGTACAAATGCTGTTCTGTTACTTAGTGAAAAACGAATCATTTTATTCCGTCTAATTTTTCAATGTGTATGAAAACATACAGTTGAATAAAAATTAAAAAATTAAAAAAAAACAGTATTCAATTTTATTTTCAAAGTTATTCACGACACCGACACTTACCTGTAATAAACAAGGATTTTGATATATATTACCCCAATGATATGAAGGTTAAACATCAGTCTGTGATAATATCTTATTGCTATACATGGCAGGCCTGAACTTGTTAACATACTTACCGTACTACGTTTAGTATAGTGCATCCAATATTTGCTTCATCATTGATAATACTGAACTTTATATTTAAGTTGCACAGAAAGCTTAGCTGTAAGGATACTCGATATAGTTTGATAGCTGACACGTCTCCATACAGAGGTTACGGCCATATGTTGGGACAAAGTGGTAAGCTGAAATGTGTGTGATACCTTGGGATTCATTGGAATTAATTTTATTACAGAAAAGAAAACAGAGTAATATTACACTTAAAAGCAAATGAACAGACCACAAACAAGCATTACATAGTTGAGGATATAGTATGAATTATAAAAGCCAGCGCGAAAGAAATCCAACAACACCATCCATTCAATCTAACTAAGAGTCCTGTTTTTCTATTGATTGGTCTAGTTAGATAATTTCACGAGAATACCTTTTTCCGTAAAAAGTTCCACACTATACATATTTAATCATAATATAACACAAATATCACAGTTCAGTTACTAACTTTGGTAGACAGAATTACTCAATGTCCTTAACAATTACTCAATACATCCAATTTGGCTACCATTAAAAATAAAAACATTCTCTCACAATAATTTAACAGTAACAGGTTTTAAAAGACATTTGTTATGTTGTTTAGGTTCAACTTTATTTTTAAGTACTAATCGTAAAAAGCTTTCGTGGGATTTAAACTAATATCCATGCTGCAACACAGGCGTTATTGACTATTACAACAGAACTAGTCTTAGATATTTGCAGTTTTAAAACAGCCAATCAATTTCTTTACAACTGAATATACCTATTGGCAACTGCTAACATTTATTATGCTGTACAAGTGCAGCGGTTTTTCTTAAAATATTATTTACATCCTTTAATGTTTTACCCAAGTCTGCTAAAACATATATATTTTTTTTACAATAATAACAATGTATTTAACTTAAAATGCGCTGATGTTTATTGAAAACCCTAAACTTGGCTATACGAACTACTGTATCCAAGCCTTTTTATCTTGTAGATTCGAGACATAGTATAAATACACTGGTCAGTTACAAATCAAGCGGAGACGTTACAACATTAATAACAGATAATTCAACCAGCTATGGGACGTTGTAATTCAGGTAGACATAAGGCAAATTTTAATGAATAAAGAAACTCTTTTAGCATCTGCTAAATAGAAAAACAAATAAAGCAAATACTATAATAGTTGATATATATATATATATATATATATATAAGTAGATGCTAGGTACATGTTTCGAAGGCATGACCCTACAACGTAGGTTACCAACATTTGTTTACTAACATCCTTCAACGACGAATTAGCCCAATTAAACGTTATGTAAAGCTCTTAATTGGCTCGAGTGTAGATATGCTCTAAACTGTTTTCATGTAGACTTCAGTAAACATATATCTGTCTTGTGTACTAAATGCTTAAAATACACGAAGACTGAGAGGATATATGTAAGTATAGACTTTTGGAAATGCGCATATTATTAGTTACACAGCTCTCACCCATATGGAATTTACTGACCCCATAAATGTCGAATTAGGTGACTAGCAAACTGTGTAACGAATTTATCTTACCAACTCTCTTAACATGTTGCATTTAGACTAGTGGTCTATCACAGTGATCAAGAACCTACTTCCATTCGTCTGTACAATCTGTTTCAATAGTTCGTCATCAATTTCTTCGTCTGTTGTCCGGGCGAAACGTTTCAGATTTTTCCTTACCGTCGTTTTGTTTTTATAAAGAGAAGTAACACCACTACTAACCGTGTATTAAAATAAACCACGCCTACTAACCACATATCAAATATACACTGTCTCCACGCGGTCGCTTTTAACCAATGATATTCCTAGAAATGTATAAGACGTAGGATAAAAATGAAGTATGCAATGGAATTTACTTAATATAATTCAGATTCATCCCCTTTCCCTTGTTTAAACTTGATTATTGAAGACGAATGGAAACAGTTTAACGCAAAAGATAGAGCATTTTTTAAATTATTTTTAACTTAGAGAAGAAAGAGACAAAAACATAGCATACTTTAATTGTGTGTCAATAGTTAGTCGAATCATAGATGTCATAAAAAATGAATTCTGCCATAAAACATAATTCATTGTAAATACTGTGACTGTGAGTTGTGATATGATTTCCAATGAGACAACTATCTACAAGAGACTTGTTAACGTAGATGTGAACAACTGTTTGTCAGCGTACGGCCTTCAAAAATGATTGATTGCTTTTTGGTTGCTTAAAGTCCAACAATGCGCAAAACCCGTACCGTATAGTCAGCTATTATAAATGGCTTCGACATGACAATCATAAAACAATTCAAACGAGAAAACCAACCTCCTTTCTTGTGTACAAAATATGAATAAACGAAAATCAAATGTGATAGACAGTCACAGCTACCAATCCCTAAATTAAATGTATAAGCCTTGTATCTTTTTAATGAGTTTTTGCACGTACCCTTTTTAAGACTTTAAGAAACAACATTATCCAAATGAGTACTGGTACAACTTGTGTTTGAATCTTCTTGCTATATTTGGTGTCATTCTTGAAAATAGTAGTTTACTGGAAAACCTAAATTTTAATTCTTTGTATATACACAGTTTAAATATTCTGAATGCTAACAACTTTAAATCAAATTTTTTATATGTATCTTTGCAGATAAAAAGTTAGTGAGTAATCTGAGAACAAGAATACAACTAGTATGATTGGTTTGGAATTGAAGTACATATCAAACTTTAAGATATTTGATGATCGTTTAAGGATCGTCGGAATAAAATGATAGACGAACTGGTACTTTATTGCATGTCATTTAGAAATCTGAAGTTATAGTTATATATCATATGAAAATAAAGCTATCATTTATCAAAGCATGGACTTCTATTTTATTTGTATTTTAAGTTTGATACTATTTAAGTAAAATTGCAAAACAGACTATACAGACAAAATTCTGACCATACATGCAGAGGAAATTTGTTCTGGGAAGTGGAAAAAATCAATATAAGTGAAATAACATTCACACCAAGACAAAACAGACTCAAACGACATAAAAATACAAAGAAGAAACAGTTATAACCCTAATCGTATTAAAGAAAATAACAGTTCTCAATTTGAAAAAAACAAAATTTACTATAAAATGATAATCGACAAAATAAGAACAATGTATAAATAACTTTTAAAAAACTAATATGCTATCAATTTAAAATCGTAGTACGATCTTTGAATATTGTCTTTATTGGTAATAACATTAATTATATGTCCAAGGTCTGTTATAAAGTTCATAGGATGTCTGTAATGGTCCGAGGCAACGCTTACGGACATTACAGGAACACATATAAGAGGGTCATTATGAAAACACACATGACTGCTTGATACATATAATCACCAACTAAAAAGAGGAAATATTTTATTAGCCAAATCAAACCAGTGCCTTCTACAGCCTACAGGTAATAATTAAACGGCCTGTATGGATAAAACCAGTTATTATGACTTCTTTTTAAACATTCAATATTAAACTGATAAGCGCTATTCATACTAATAGAACTACAATTCAGACTTTATTTACACACGTAAACCTTTTTGATTACCTGTAAATATGTATCTTCTCTTTTCTGTATGGATTAAAACTACTTTGGAAACTTAATGGTTATTGAAAAATATTTTCAATGAGAGATATTTTGGGAGGAAAGGTAAGAATTGAATTAAAACTGCAAACCACACGAAAATAGAATAATTCTACCATCACTTTTATTCCTTAAAATCCATATAACTAAATTGGGTCCTTTGAAGCGAGACTAGTTCTTATGTAACAGTGGTGTCAAAATAATACATGGTGAATACTGTTTTTGCTCATAAATTTGACTCTGTAGTGAAAATAACATTATTTCGAGAATTAATTTCTCCTCGGTGATGCCCACGGTCAAAATATTGGAAAGTTCAAACCTAATACAAAGAAGAGCAGACAAAACAAAACATGACCCTGTTATTCATATT